AAAAAAAAAAAAAAAAAAAAAAAAAAAAAAAAAAAAAAAAAAAAAAAAAAAAAAAAAAAAAACTAATATTGAATTGTTTTTTTTTTAACGGAAATATTGAATTTTTAGGTAAAATGTTTGAATTTTCGCCGGAATTAAAAACATAATTAAAATAAATGGATAGCAAAATAAGATAAAATAAAATGAATACTTAATTTTTATATCTTGACACATTAACCAGTTAATATGGAAATCTTTTATTTCGTTATTTATATGAATTATGTATTTTTAATAAAATTTAAAATTACAAGACCAAAATAGTGTGTATATATATTATTTATTTATTTAAAAAGAAATATAAAAGTATTTTAGAGTTAAGTTTTGAATTCAAACTTTTATTAAAAGAATTAAATATATGAAAGAAAATAATCGTCACCTCATTATCTTTAAATTTTTTAATATTATTTTTTAAAGTTCATGAATATTTTTTAAACACGATAATAACCATGAAAATATTTATGAATTTTACCAATTTTTTTAAAAATATTAATAAAAAAAGTATTTTTTGAAAATTTTCAAAAGTTTTAAATAATATTTTTGAAACTAGGTATTTTTAAATTAAAGTATTAACAGCTTTCATGAAAATTAGCATGTATTTTTATTTTTATTTTTAAAATTTAAAGGTGTTTTTTTTTTTTTTAGATTTTAAAAATAATTTATTATTATTAAATTTTATTTATTTATTTATTCCCAACAGTGAGATTTTGTTGTTTAGTTTACTGTTAAAGCCATCACTTTCGGTAGGAGGGGAGAAGGCGTGAGTGGTTTTGGCGAACCGAGCAGGTGCAGGTGAGAACACGCAAAGATAAACAAGGCGACATCGCGACGGATTCTTACTTACTGACCGAATGGGGTTGGTCGAGCTTCGAACCAACCAGCGCCACACCGCCCGCCACCCTTTGTCAAACCAAAAGCGGAATTCTTTTTATAAACAACAAACCAATTACTTGACTGTTTCTTCTTCCGTGAAATCGGGACAATTGGCTGCAACCGGTGATCCCTCTAATTTCTGCGCGGTCTATTTCTTTGTGAAAGCAGCAGCAGCAGCAGCAGTTCGGTGAATTGGTGACAGAACTGGCTTTGAGCCTTTGATGGAGTTTTGATTTTCGTTCTTCAGGAGGTAATTCTTCTTAATCATGCTGTATTTTATCTGCAAATCTGACGGCATTGCTGGATTTCTGGGGGTTTTTGTATAATATCCGTAATGGATTCAAGGTCGATTTATGTTTGTTTTTTAATCTCATTTGACTTGATGTTCAAGAATCGACGATCGCACCCTTGGTGGAAGATTTTGGTTAAGTAGTTTTGAAATTTTAAGTTGGCCATAGGAATATCATAGTTGCAATCTTCTCAATCTGTGTGTTATGGTAAACTATCTGATCGATATCATTTTTGCTTTCCGAAAATGCTTACAGCAATACGGCCAAGTATGAGTTGCAGCTGCTTCGGCTCCTCTAATTCGGAGAAGAAGCGGATCTCTACTCGTGCTGATAAGGATTTGGACAGTAAGGACTTGAATAGGATTTCAATTTCCCGTCATATTTTGTAAAGAACTTATGCATGCTGTTGGGCTTAGTATTGTATGTTTGATGTGATTTTCTTTTTGCTTTGTTTTTCTGTTGCTTAGCTGACTTGCCTGAGAATGTTAAACAATTCTCCTTCAATGAATTAAGATCTGCTACAGAGGATTTCCATTCAAATAATAGAATTGGACGCGGAGGCTTTGGAGTTGTTTATAAGGTAAAAAGAATTTGGTTATGTCAAGTGAATGCTCAATTGTCTAGTAATTCGATCATACGATAGGATTGTCTGTAGGCACTTCAAATTTTCACATGGTTTTTGCATCTTTTTGTAAATTCTTTGCTTCTGTTGGTTGTCAGTCTGATTTTGTGTTCTTTAGATGTTATAATGGAGGCATTTAAGAATCGAGCTGATATCAGTCATCTGGCTAACTTAATGATGTGTAATTTGAGTTACTTTGATATTACACAGTACTCAGAAGTTATTTCTTTCCTTTCTTCCTGCATGTGTATTGAATCTTACCGTACGGAAATTTGTTGCCAGGGCGTGTTACGGAGAGGAGTACAAGTTGCAGTAAAGAAACTTTCTATAGAGTCTAAGCAAGGGGCTCGGGAATTTTTGACAGAGATCAAAACCATTTCAAATGTCAGGCATCCAAACCTTGTTGAGTTGATTGGATGCTGTGCTCAAAATGCTAACCGGATCTTGGTCTATGAATATCTGGAAAATAATAGTCTCGACCATGTTTTGTTAGGTATTTAAGAAGACTTCCAATCAAACAACACTTATCTTTGCACTTCTTTTTTTATTTTCCTTTTAGAGACGAGTAGACTCTTTGGGGCGGGTTTGGGAGAGGGAGGACAGCATAGGTCTGTTATATGCCCTTTTAGCGCTGCTACCTCTTTCTACCCTTCCACACTCGAAGAAATCTATGAACTTGCAGCTTTGTAGTAAATGTGATACTCTTAGAATTTCCTAATATGTAAATAAGCATTGCAGCAATATAATTATTTTCTTCTTTTCTTTTGTGTAGAGTATAAGAACACGAGTGTTGAACTGGATTGGGGCAAGAGGTCCTCAATTTGCATTGGTACTGCTAGGGGCCTTCAATTTCTTCACGAGGAAGTCGTTCCACATATTGTGCATAGAGACATCAAGGCTAGTAATATACTCCTTGATAAGGACTTCAATCCGAAAATTGGTGACTTTGGATTAGCTAAACTTTTCCCGGATGATATTACACACATTAGCACAAGAATCGCAGGAACAACGTATGTCATATTACGAGCTTTTATTTTGTTGTTCTTTGTTTTTTAATTCAACTATCCATACTTCTATTACATTGTTTTCTTAATGCTTATGTTACATCTTACTTTGATATTGAATTTTATTAATGTTTGTAAATCATAGTCGGTTGTGGATAAAATTGCCTCGATTTGGTTTTGGAGAGATTATTTTCTATATTGTTTCTCTTGATTAGAAATCTACATTTACTTAGTATGGGTTGTAAGGAGGAATATTGGGAGGTTTATATTGATGACTTCAAGTATGTAGCGTAGAAGAGAATACAAAGAATGCAGAAAGTACATTCTCAAAGCACTGCCTAAGGTGATTAAGTTTAATATATATATNGACAATTGGCTGCAACCGGTGATCCCTCTAATTTCTGCGCGGTCTATTTCTTTGTGAAAGCAGCAGCAGCAGCAGCAGTTCGGTGAATTGGTGACAGAACTGGCTTTGAGCCTTTGATGGAGTTTTGATTTTCGTTCTTCAGGAGGTAATTCTTCTTAATCATGCTGTATTTTATCTGCAAATCTGACGGCATTGCTGGATTTCTGGGGGTTTTTGTATAATATCCGTAATGGATTCAAGGTCGATTTATGTTTGTTTTTTAATCTCATTTGACTTGATGTTCAAGAATCGACGATCGCACCCTTGGTGGAAGATTTTGGTTAAGTAGTTTTGAAATTTTAAGTTGGCCATAGGAATATCATAGTTGCAATCTTCTCAATCTGTGTGTTATGGTAAACTATCTGATCGATATCATTTTTGCTTTCCGAAAATGCTTACAGCAATACGGCCAAGTATGAGTTGCAGCTGCTTCGGCTCCTCTAATTCGGAGAAGAAGCGGATCTCTACTCGTGCTGATAAGGATTTGGACAGTAAGGACTTGAATAGGATTTCAATTTCCCGTCATATTTTGTAAAGAACTTATGCATGCTGTTGGGCTTAGTATTGTATGTTTGATGTGATTTTCTTTTTGCTTTGTTTTTCTGTTGCTTAGCTGACTTGCCTGAGAATGTTAAACAATTCTCCTTCAATGAATTAAGATCTGCTACAGAGGATTTCCATTCAAATAATAGAATTGGACGCGGAGGCTTTGGAGTTGTTTATAAGGTAAAAAGAATTTGGTTATGTCAAGTGAATGCTCAATTGTCTAGTAATTCGATCATACGATAGGATTGTCTGTAGGCACTTCAAATTTTCACATGGTTTTTGCATCTTTTTGTAAATTCTTTGCTTCTGTTGGTTGTCAGTCTGATTTTGTGTTCTTTAGATGTTATAATGGAGGCATTTAAGAATCGAGCTGATATCAGTCATCTGGCTAACTTAATGATGTGTAATTTGAGTTACTTTGATATTACACAGTACTCAGAAGTTATTTCTTTCCTTTCTTCCTGCATGTGTATTGAATCTTACCGTACGGAAATTTGTTGCCAGGGCGTGTTACGGAGAGGAGTACAAGTTGCAGTAAAGAAACTTTCTATAGAGTCTAAGCAAGGGGCTCGGGAATTTTTGACAGAGATCAAAACCATTTCAAATGTCAGGCATCCAAACCTTGTTGAGTTGATTGGATGCTGTGCTCAAAATGCTAACCGGATCTTGGTCTATGAATATCTGGAAAATAATAGTCTCGACCATGTTTTGTTAGGTATTTAAGAAGACTTCCAATCAAACAACACTTATCTTTGCACTTCTTTTTTTATTTTCCTTTTAGAGACGAGTAGACTCTTTGGGGCGGGTTTGGGAGAGGGAGGACAGCATAGGTCTGTTATATGCCCTTTTAGCGCTGCTACCTCTTTCTACCCTTCCACACTCGAAGAAATCTATGAACTTGCAGCTTTGTAGTAAATGTGATACTCTTAGAATTTCCTAATATGTAAATAAGCATTGCAGCAATATAATTATTTTCTTCTTTTCTTTTGTGTAGAGTATAAGAACACGAGTGTTGAACTGGATTGGGGCAAGAGGTCCTCAATTTGCATTGGTACTGCTAGGGGCCTTCAATTTCTTCACGAGGAAGTCGTTCCACATATTGTGCATAGAGACATCAAGGCTAGTAATATACTCCTTGATAAGGACTTCAATCCGAAAATTGGTGACTTTGGATTAGCTAAACTTTTCCCGGATGATATTACACACATTAGCACAAGAATCGCAGGAACAACGTATGTCATATTACGAGCTTTTATTTTGTTGTTCTTTGTTTTTTAATTCAACTATCCATACTTCTATTACATTGTTTTCTTAATGCTTATGTTACATCTTACTTTGATATTGAATTTTATTAATGTTTGTAAATCATAGTCGGTTGTGGATAAAATTGCCTCGATTTGGTTTTGGAGAGATTATTTTCTATATTGTTTCTCTTGATTAGAAATCTACATTTACTTAGTATGGGTTGTAAGGAGGAATATTGGGAGGTTTATATTGATGACTTCAAGTATGTAGCGTAGAAGAGAATACAAAGAATGCAGAAAGTACATTCTCAAAGCACTGCCTAAGGTGATTAAGTTTAATATATATATATATATATATATATATATATATATATATATATATATATATATATATATATATATATATAGGTTTACTAGATATAACCATCTACTATATATAACCATTTACCATATATAGCTTTACCAGGTATATCCATCTACTATATATAACTATCTACCATATAGTATAGCATTTTACTGTATGTATTTATTTACTACTTATGACCATTTACTTTATATGTCATTTACCATGTATAACTTTACTGTGTATAACAATTGAGTAAGTTATAAATAAGCAACAGACTCTATAACCTAACCGTTTGAAGCTAGGGTAAGGTTTTGGGGGAAATTGTTGTGTGGGGAGCTTGGCTATGGAGTTCTTTGTTCGGTTCCCAATAACATGAAAACACAAAATAGAACTATATTGCAATATCAAAAAGAAATTACAATATTAGTAGCCTTTTGAGAGGGCTATCTTTTTCTCAAAGTCCCAGACTGGACAATCCCCATTATAATCCTTCTCTCTAAGATCTCTAACTCTCCCTTTTTTATAACCGAGCCACCCTTGGCTAATTACTAATATGCCCTACTACTATCCTATTGATATTCTCAATATACCCCTATTAAGTACTCTCACATTCTTTCTCAAAAGAGTTTTGTAATTGCTTTTCTCTTTGATTTTCCGAATTTGAAGTGTTCCTTGTTGCACCTCGAAGATTTTTGTATATTTTATTTTCTCTAACGATGTATCAGTTTGTTGTTTAAGTAGTAAACACCAATTTTTGTCTAATTTCTTTCATTGCTTGAGGTGAACTTACTCGGTCCTTTTTCTTTGTATGGATTGAAATTTTTTACTACCAATCAAGTTGCTAAGTTTTTCTTTCTAACTGATGATTATCTTGATATATTGCATCTATTACAATCTATTCAAGCCATGGAACTTCTTGAAGCTATTTGTAGTGGTTAATTATTGGAATTGGTGAAGTGGTTCTGGTTATTTAAAAAATTTCTATCATCTTGTTTGATTGACAGTCTTTTTTTAGGATTCTCCTTCATCAATTCAGATATAGCGAAGAGATGTAGTGTTATAAATTTACAACAAGTCTTGGCAGTAAGGGTGAAAGAGAAACTGTTGCCATTGGGTAGTGAAGAAAGACAGGATTGGAAACTGTTGCCATTGGGTAGTGACGAAAGACAGAATTGGAGGAGATCTGATTGTTAGGTTATGGAGTCTGCTGCTTATTTATAGTTTACTTAATGGTTATACGTAAAAACTATACTATATACGGTGAATGACATATAAAATAAATGATCATAAATATTAAACAACTATGTATAGTAAAAAGTTAGTACTATATATGGTAAATGATATAAATAGTAAAAAACTATATCTCCTTATATACTAGATGACTATATCTAGTAAGACTTTATATATTAAACTGAACTATATATATACCCTTGATCTATATATATATACCCCAGTGCTCTGAATGTACTTTACGGCAGCCCTACAGGATAAGGTAGGGAGTGGGAAAAGCATAGCAAGACAGGCTAAAAAGAATGGTAAAAGAAAAAGAAATCTAATCTGGAACATCATTCAGGTGCCTTCAGGAAAGAATTCCGAGCTTCCAACAGATTGGGTTTCATCTGTGGGTCTTAGATTTGCTAATTTGTTTAGAACTGAATTACTCCAATTCCTTGAGACTGATATGATAGACAAGTTGTGCATGCATTACGCCCCACACCCTTATTCGGTTGTGGTTGAATTAAATTTTGGGAGAGTGTGCAGGGAGGGGTGTTTTGAGTTTACCAACAGGATGTGTTCCATAGACTAATACATTATACAAGGACCACTGGTTTCGACCAGTGATCAATACGATGATTTTTATGTGACGATTTTTATGTTCTCTCCTTGAGAGTCGACACTAAGAACTATTGAATGGTTTGCTGTCGAAACCAGGTTTAATTCAATCTCACGTTTTTGAGTCATATATCTTTGTTATGCTGCAAGATCTCAGCCGATGAAGAGAAAATTCATCATTTAATGTGTTTTGTTGTATTGATGTCATTTCTTATTGTCTGCAGTGGTTATTTGGCCCCAGAGTATGCACTGGGAGGTCAGCTAACTCCAAAGGCGGATGTGTACAGCTTTGGAATCCTCATCCTCGAAACAGTTAGCGGTAGACGTAGCAGTACAGTTTTCGGGGGAGGAATACCAATACTCTTGCTGGAACAGGTATGCTCGTTCGTTCATATCCAAATTTACACCGTCCTTGCGTTCTTATATACTGCCCATTTCCACTAGTATTTAACTGTCGTAACATAGCCGTTGGCCTGGCTTCGGGTACGCAATATACCCGATTGTCGCCTAAGACTTGAAATTTATGAATTTGTAGATTCTCGTTTCGAGTTTCAAGTTCTTGAGCATTGAGTGATTGTTCCACGCCTTAAATCTGTTGAAGAACATGCCAAATAGATCCTATCTAGATAGAAATTTTCAAGTAAAACACAAAATCTTGTATGAAAATTTGATACTAGAATTCTTAGTTCAGAGCATTTTGTTTTCTGTTCTTATATGGAATCTCTTGTATTTCTTTACGAGCTATGTTGTTGCTTACCATCAGTAATTGCCGTGAAACAGGTGTGGGAGTTATATAAGCAAGGAAAACTTTTAGAAATAGTGGATTCTAGACTAGGAGATTATCCTCAGGAAGAAGTGCTTAGGTACATGAAAGTGGCTCTTTTCTGCACACAAGGGGCTGCAAGTCGACGGCCAGTGATGAGTCAAGTCGTCGACATGCTTACAAAGAAGATCAAGCTTAACGAGAAACTACTTACCGCACCGGGGTTCTACGGAGGCTCGAGTGACGTTCCTGGTAGTAGCAAGAAGACGATCTCCAGCACTTCCACCAGCAATACGGCATGCTCTGCAGTCGTCTCTATAACTCAAATCACCCCTAGATGAAGAGGCTTAAGCCACAACTTCTGCAAATTATTACAAGTTAGCTTGAGTTCATGGATAGATATTAGTTTAGCTTGATCCTGTTGAAGCATCTCATTGTTCAAATTATTGGGTAAATATTAGCTTTGGTGTCTCCATATTCACAAGTTGCAACTTATTAAGAACTTTTATCACCTGGCAATGGCATTATGGTAATTTTGCGAACATCGTTCACCATCGAAATGAATGTCCTTCACCTGAACTTTCGAAAGTTCGAAAATGAACAATTTTAGATAATTTGTTTCTAATAATTGACGATTTTCAAATGGAAGATCTAGAGTATGTGTAGAAATTTACATAAACGGAATTATAACCTTAAAAGGTTTAACTGCCACGTAAACTAAAACGTTTATCAAATTGATATGTTTACAAAAGTGGATAAATGAATATAATTATTACCAGAAGTTTTTAATGATATAACTACAAAATCTTAAGATAACAGTTATTATTTATTATTATTATTTTTTTATAAACTTAATCTTTCTAATTTGTAAAACTTAAAATCTAGTCCTTATGATTTTAAAAATTAGAAATTTGACCCTATAATCGAATAAAATTTTATAAATATTCAAAATTTTAAGATTACAGTTAATTTTTATTTCATAAATATTCAAAATTTTAAGATAACAGTTAATTTTTTTTTTGTTGATAAACTTAATCTTTCTGAGTCGTAAAACTTAAAATTTAGTTCTTATAATTTTAAAAATTAGAAATTTGACCCTATAATTCGATAAAATTTCATAAATATTTATTATATTCGATGACATATACTATTTTTTAAAAATATTTTTGTGAAATTATAAAAATTAATTATGTTATATATTTCGAAAAATTATCCGACAAAATTCGTAATTAAAAAAAAAAAAAAAAAAAACATAGCAGCAAAACATACAAGGTAGTTTGGAAGAGGAAATTACGACATTAGCCTTATCTCACGCCAATTGAATCCAAAAATCAAAACCCTGAACCAAACAAATTCTTCATTCATACTGAAAGATTTCTGAGAGCAGGTCTTCGATTGTTCTCACTCTTCCACCAACTCCGTCGGATTTTTTTTTGCTCCGACGATCCTCCCGGTTTCAGAACTCTGGATCCCTCTAATCGCCCTCAAAGCCCCTTGCTTTTCTTCAATGTTACGCTCCAGAGCTGGAAGATAAGCTAAGCAGCTAGCTAATTGTCGCCTGGGATCCAGCGATGATCGTCAGGACGTACGGCCGTCGGAATCGTGGTCTTCCGAGGTCTTTTTCCGACTCCTCTAGTAACGCCATTCACGATTCCTTCGGTGATTCTCTATCTCAGGAAAGTTCTCAGGACCCGCTATTTGGCATCGCTTTCTCGTCACAGGACTCCTCCACTAAATGGTCCACTTACGATTCTGAGCCCTATGGTACAAATTCCTCCCAGGGTTCGTTTTCAGCGAAACCTGTACGGTCCTCTTTGGACGATTCACTCAACAGAGGCAACAAGAAGTCCAAGAAAGTCAAGATTGATAAAAGGGAACTTGAGATTCTTCAGTGTTCTCAGCCGGCGATTCCTTCTACATCGACTTTGATGGAAGCCCAGGAGTTTGGGGAGATGATGGAGCACATGGATGAGGTGAATTTCGCTTTGGATGGGCTTAGGAAGGGTCAGCAAGTTCGGATCAGACGGGCAAGTTTGGTATCTTTGTTATCAATTTGCTCTACTGCACAGCAGCGGCGGCTTCTAAGGACTCATGGGTATGTAAAATTGTTATGCACTTTTGGTTACTCATAGTTTATAGGTTAGGATTGAAGACTGGAATGCAGAAAACTTTTCAATTCTGTAATTTTTTTGCTAATGTTTGAGTCATGCAAGGTTTTTCTCCTTTATTAGAACCGCTTTTTGTTCCTCATTCCTTCCCCAAATTGTTCTTTAGAAATCTCTTATGATCATGAATTCTGTTGATTTAATGAGAATTACAGGAGTTAGTGAAAGAAAAGGTTAGTGTGTCCTTAAATTTGAATTTTACTGGTAATATATCAAAACTGCGGGGAAACATCTGTTTAGGACCGTTGTAGTGTTCCTTTTGCTTTCTCGACTACGCTGGGCTTGACATCGGCTCGAGATCTACCAAAATTTTTCACATGGTTATTCCCCCAACTCAAAATGTTGGATTTATAAACGAAAGTTCTTAGATTGGGCAAGGAAACAAACCTTTCATTGGAAATTTCAATGAAAAAGTGAAGAAGAAAAACTAAAGGACTTGACAGACCCCTCCATTTGAGACGCCTGCAGGCACCTCGAGTGCTCTACATTCCACGTCGCCTTTCTGATGGCCACACAGATTGTACTTCTGGTTGCTTTATCTTATATTTTATGTTACTGCATTTTTTAGTGCTAGATGTTGCCAATTTATATCTGAACTCAGGCATATTCTTTTAGGATGGCGAGGACGATAATTGATGCTGTTTTAGGTCTTAGCTTCGACGACTCAGCCAGCAATCTAGCTGCTGCGACTCTCTTTTACATTTTGACCGGCGATGTAAGTGATCCTGCTCTTTAACATATTATGTTCTTATTAATAATTGATATCGACGATCTATGGTTTTTAAGATTATGGTTCCGTTCGCTGAACTGTAATCAATAATGTTTACTTCTTTTGTGTTAAGCTCTCTGAATCACAGACATGTTTTCTGATAATGATAAGGCTCTGAAAGTATTTCATTTCATGATCTCAGGGTCAAGATGATCACCTTCTGGAATCACCAAATTGTGTTAGTTTTTTAATTAAATTGTTGAAACCAATTCTCTCTATGGCTACTGAAGTGAAAGCACCAAGAATTGGCCATAAGCTTTTAGCACTTCGAATGGATTCTGATGCCTTACAAAGTACAACAAAAACATTGGACTCCAGTTCTTCTGCAATTTTTTCAAAAGTTGAAGAAATTCTTGTAAGTTGCAAGGAGATAAAATCAAGATGCATAGACACCAGCACAACTGATAGACCAGAATTGTGTCCAAAATGGATTGCATTACTGGCTATAGAGAAAGCTTGCTTGACTACCATTTCCCTTGAAGGTATCTATCTATCTATCTATCTATCTATATATATATATATGAAGTGAATAAGTCAATAACCACAATGAATGAAGCCTCCTGATCCGGGCTTGATCAACGAGCTTGAATATATAGATGCTCAACAATTGTTCAGATACCATTTTTGGATTTCTATCCTGCTAACATTTGAAGAGTTTCTTTTTAGACGTTCAACTATGAATGCTCTGTTCGCTAAAAGTTCTTTCTATCCGTAACATCATGCCTTTTTTAAAGATCATGGGGATTGGGTTATTGACGATTTTCTATGTAGTTTCTGTATATGATCTAATTACTAATTTTATATGATCAACTCACTTTCTTTGAGGGTAACTAATTTCTCGTTTCTTTGAAAAAAGTTATGGATTTGAATCTACGGTTTGAATGTCATTATCTTGCAAGGGTTACTGCAGATGGTTTAAATAGTTCACTATCGTTCTTGGCGTTGTAGCTAACTTCACAACCATACATTCTTTCTTTTTGGTTTTTTATTTTACTTCGTATTTTAGCCGTGATGTTTCACATGTCTGAACTATGCCAATACAGTGTTCTATATGCTAATTCTTGTGAATCTTCTGTCATCCTCTCAGAAGCATCTGGTGCTATAAGAAAAACTGGAGGTGACTTTAAGGAAAAATTGCGAGAGCTCGGAGGACTTGACGCTGTCTTTGAGGTTGCCAAGGATTGCCATTCAAATATGGAGGTGTGAGCTTGTATGTTTTTTGGGATCTCATTACTGTTTCATTATACAAATCTGCAGTAGCTACAATGTGGGGAGGGAAATTTAGGGAAGGATCCATGCCAGTTCTTTGTTTGGGAGGGTGGGGATGAAAATTCTTAGTTGCAGTTTATGTGACAAGATGAGATTTGGATTGGTGTCCCTTTTATTAGGCTCTTTTTTGAATGCCTTGTATATTCTCACAATCATATTTAGACAAATCAATAGGTATTCATCCCATTCCCTTTCCATAACATTGAATATAGGGGTTTTCCTTTCTAACCATTTTAGATCAAATACTTGCGGTGTATGAGAAAGATCGTCTTTTGGACGCACTTTATTTTAGAATTGTGTAAAACGTGTTTCGCTGTCTACACAGGACGCAAGACATGAAAACTCTCTGCGGAGCTTGGTGCTACTTTTGAAGTGCTTAAAGATAATGGAAAATGCAACGTTCCTTAGTAAAGATAATCAGGTATGCAGAAAAGTCATTTTTCTCTTCATAAATTAACCAAATTCTCGGTTCTTAGGTGTGTTATCCCACATTGGTTGGGGAGGAAAACGAAACATCCGTTATAAGGGTGTGGAAACCTTTCCCTAGCAGATGCGTTTTAAAGCCTTGAGGGGAAGCCCGAAATGGAAAGCCCAAAGAGGACAATATTTGTTAGCGGTGGACTTGGACTTGGACTGTTTCAAATGGTATCAGAGCCAGACATCGGGCGATGTGCCAACAAGGAGGCTATTCCCCGAAGGGGGGTAGACATGAGGTAGTGTGCCAGTAAAGACGCTGGACCTCGAAGGGGGGGTGGATTTGGTGGGAGTCCCACATTGATTGGAGAAAGGAACGAGTGCTAGTGAGGATGCTGGGCCCTGAAGGGGGGTGGATTGTGATATCCCACATTGGTTGGGGAGGAGAACGAAATACTCTTTATAAGGGTGTGGAAACCTTTCCCTAGCAGACGCGTTTTAAAACCTTGAGTGGAAGCCCGAAAGGGAAAGTCCAAAGAGGACAATATCTGCTAGCGGTGGGCTTGGACTGTTACATTAGGACTTCGTTTCAATTCTTTTTTCTAATTCACATTAATGACAGAGTCATTTGCTTGGAATTAAAAGAAACTTGGAGCGACAGGGAACACCACAATCTTTCACGGAAATCATGTTAAATATCATCAAGATTCTTTCAGGTAACTAATTACACGGCGGTTTTCTTTCCAGTCTCATCCAATATGTTTTTTTTTTTCATTGCTATGTTATATCGATCGATGACATTTACTTGTAGGTCTGTATTTACGCAAAAGTTCTCCTG